CTTTGTGTGCTTCCATCAGCACACTACCCTGTAGCTGTCTGATACAAGGATTGTAATTTCCCTCAGGGCAGAAACAATGTCTCATCCATCATCATATCACTACTGCTTAGCACAGAGCTTGGCTCATATTTGTTGCATGAATGAATGAAAGGAAAGGAAAGGCCATGATATGGGAAAAATGAGGTAGAAATGTGAGGCTCAATTAAATAAGTAGCATGAAGTCCTTACACATTCCTCAGCAGAAAAATGTGATTCAAGTGGCTTTAGAAGAATGATTAGAAGGTTCATTCAAGAAAAATAGGTGATGGATAAGGAGATAGCTTGGAGAACATCATAATAATTGCATATTGATGTAATGATATTGGAAGTAATAATAGTAACAATCATGTCTAACATTTATTCAGCACTCAATAAATGCCAGGTACTGTTTTAAGTGTCTTTTTTATTATTATTATTGATGTAGAGTCTTGCTTTGTCACCAGGCTGGAGTGCAGTGGTGTGATCTTGGCTCACTGCAACCTCCAGCTCCTGGGTTCAAGCAATTTCCCTGCCTCAGCCTCCCAAATAGCTGGGACTATAGGCGTGCACCACCATGCCCAGCTAATTCTTTGTATTTTAGTAGAGACAGGGTTCCACCATGTTGGCCAGGATGGTCTCAATCTCCTGACCTTGTGATCTACCCACCTCGGCCTCCAAAAGTGCTGGAATTACTGGTGTGAGGCACTGCACCCGGCCAAGTGTCTTAAATGTATTAACTCATTTTCACAACAACCCCTGCCTAGAAGATAAAGGGAGATTTCCAAGAAAAAAAAAAACATATTTTTTTTATCTCATTCTAAACATGAGGAAGCTTAGGTACCAAGGGGTTAAGTAACTCACTCAAGATAACAAAGCTACAAAGTGGCAGAGATTAGAAGTAAGCTGTAAAAATTATTTCAAAGGGAGAAGAAACACGACTTGAGAGCTTGAGAGCCAGGTTATTAGAAGATAATGGCATAGGAGAATCAAAAATGACTTTCAGTTTTCTAACCTAGAAAAACAGAACATGGAAGAAGCTGGGAAGAGAATTCAACTTGTTGGGAGATGCTGTGCTCATTTGGGACAGACTGGACTTAATCTCATGACTAGACATCCCAGTCAAAATGACCTGTAAACAGTAATAATTATTCACGGCAGTCCCACGCAAACTTCCTGCAAGCCTATTGTCATACACTTGCCTGGGTTTGAGGAGTTGCAAACATGGACTTGAAATGACATTTTTGAAAGTATTGACTTAATGATGTTCAATAGGTAAAGAGGAGTCAGTGAAGGATTTTAAATAGCAGGGTGACATGGTTTTCGTTCACTTAAGTGACCAAATGAAAGGTGGCTTTGAGGAGGACTTTCTGAAGTCAGGAGCACAGGTTAAGAGTTGAAAAACTTTGTACACTTAAAAATAGCTAAAATAGTAAATTAAAATTATATGCACTTAACCATGATTTTAAAAAAAAGGGAGGTTGTTTCAGGAGTCCAGATAAGAAAAAATAAAGGCAGGAACTTGGACAAGGTCAAGGGAAACTTAAAGACTTGTTTTGTCATTAATCCTCCAGTTATTCTAGCTAGAAATATAGGAGTGATTTATTATTTAATACTTATTGACCTAGTGCTACATGTTTGGCACTGTGCTAGGACACAAAGATGGATAACAATCTGTGCTTAGATTGTATAATGCATTCAATTGTCTAGTGAGGTAAACAGCTATATATATATATATATATACACACACACACACACACACACACACAATATTCAGAATACACTGTGTCAGAGCAGCATTAGAGGCAAGGAAAAGTCATTATGGAAGCACAGTGAAGGGCACCCAACCCCTATAAGTTGGGAAAATCATTGTGGAAATGTTCTGAAACACAGTGGTCCCTGTCTTGGGTCTTAAACAATGAAGAAGACCTTACCAAGTAAAGGAGAATTGGAGGGAGAAAAGGCATTCCACTCTAAGTTAAAAAAAAAAATCACATGAAGTATTTTTGCATTTTCTGGCAGGCATGGGGACAAAGGAAGAGACTAGAAGGTCTGGCCCCTGACGGATCCAGCATACTTGCTGCTCTCATGAAACAGCCATTCCCTTTTCCCGCTATATTAGTTCATTCTCACGCTGCTAATAAAGACCTAACTGAGACTCGGTAATTCATAAAAGAAAGAGGTTTAATTGGCTCACAGTTCCACATGACTGTGGAGGCCTCATAATCATGGCAGAAGGCAAAGGGGAAGCAAGGCATGTCTATATGGCATCAGGCAAGAAGACCTTGTATAAAGGAACTTCCCTTTATAAAACTATCAGATCTCATGAGCCTTATTCACTGTCACAAGAATAGCATGGGAAAGACTGCCTCCATGATTCAGTTATCTCCCAGCAGGTTCCTCCCATGACACATAGGAATTATGGGAGGTACAATTCAAGATGAGATTTGGGTGGGGACATAGCCAAAGCACATCACCTGTATAGGTGGTGATAGAGCCCAGAACCCTCATAACTCCGGGTGGAGAGGGCAGCACCATCAGGCAGGACAGACAGTTTGTATCTTGGGGAGATGTTAGGAGACAACCCCTATGGCATGCTTTCATCCACCCTCCAGAAGAGGGAGCTGGGAAGAAGCTTCTTCAGAAGATTCTGAAGATGAGGTAGACCTTGGCAACAGTCATCACTCAGATAAAATTGAGTAAAAGTGGAGAAATGGAAGTTTCCCAGGGCTAATGGTAGAATTATGAATGAGCACCCATGGGGTACATTTTAGAGACTCCCAGGACAAACACAGGAATCACCACCTGCTGGGGAAATGAAGTTCTAGGGATGTCTTTCATGGTAGCAAAAGTCAGAAAAATGTTTTACATAACACTTAAGAGCAGGCATCTGCAGTCAGACACTTCTTTTAAAATTCAGACTTTATCATTTGATAACTGTCTGAGCTGGGCAATTCTATTAACCTCTCTGATCATATGCTGCTGCTTCTACAAAATGATGATAAATATAGTACCTTCTTTATGGTGCTGCAACAAAGACTGAATGTGATGGCACCCTGTGCTTTGTCCAGTCCCTGACCCAAGAGAAGATGCTCAGGGCTAATAACTACAACCGTTACTACTCAAGATACCCCCACTTTACCCTCCCCAGTCAGAAGGACAAGACAGAAATGTAGATCCCAGTGGTAACATTTTAAAATTGATCATGTAAATCAGTATTTTTTTAAGAGTTCATTTTCTAGAAGTTTTTCTTCCATAGAGTGAAAGATGCCCACCTAGTTACTCTTGTATAGCTGAGTATCTCTATATACGCAAAAAATAGGAAAATAATGCCTACCATTTACTGGTAATACAAAATAAAATATGACAAATATGGCTTCTTAACACTAATTTCGGAGTGAACTGATTAATGAGAATTTCTCACTTTCTGTCCTTGTTTCTCTATTGTTCCCTTGTTTAGTAAAATATTAAGCAGTCTTATTATAAAATTAGTTCAATAGACAGAGTTGATGTCCTTGGAGATGACATCAGGGGAAGGTCTGGTATTTCACACACAAGATGAAAGAGCACATAGCAGCTATTTCTGGAGCTGAAAAAAGGGGGCATTAACACATTTCAGTGAGTTTTTTCCCATGGGAAATTGTGCCAGGTACACATTTTACATTTTCACTTACTAAGAAAACGAATATCTTAAAATACAAGAACTAATTTAGGCTCCAGTGTTATATACTAACAATCCCAATTGGGATTGTTATCATAGGAATGATTCAAAACGTTAAGTGAAATGAAGATTTCCACATTGTGTTTTTTAAATTAAGTCAATGGAGAAAAATGTAAATGTATGAACCCTAATGAAAAATATATATACAATTCACAGGGAAAACACAAAATTTGTCTAAGTGAAATTGAATCTGGTAATCACATTGCCAAACAATACTTCCAGTTTTGTATAGAAAGTGATGCCTTAAAAACAATTGAAAGTACAAAACCATCTGGCAATGTTAACAACTTCTGAAATGATCTTCAAACTGTATAGAAAGGGCTAACATTGTTAAGAGGGAACTGAATCCCAAGATACAGAGGAAAGTAAAGTACTTGGTCACAGTAGATGATATCAAACTTTCAGACCAAGATGCATTATATCTCAGGATACAAAAGGAATGTGCAGATGCAATCAGGGACCCAAATAGATTCCCCATAAGAAATCAGAGAAATGAAAAAAATATTAAGACTCGGGGGAAAATGTCCCTCTCTTCCAAAAGATAATCTGTAGAAAATACCAAAGAATGAACTTCATACATATATATTATACATATATGTATAATATATATGTAAATTCTAAAATGCTTTATGGCTTGCTAATACTTAGGAAAGAAAGAGGTGCTCAAGACATCCCATAGGCTCCAAGTGGGTTCACTAAGGAAAGGAATTGACCAACTAACCATCAGTTTAAGGAGTTGTCATAGATATCACATACCAGGATTTTAGCAAAACAGTTTAAAAGCTTTTCTCCATGATCCAAGGGTAAATATACTATATGAGCCAAGGCCATATTGCATGCCCAATGTAACTGGATTTGTAGATGGCTGAATAATGTCAAATATGGATAAGAATTCACCTGGAAGGAGGTCTCTGGGTTTTTGTATCTGGTCTTGCTATTTCTTATAATGTTGTCAATGACCTCAATGAACACCTAGAAACAAACATAAATATCCCTTGAATTTTAGAATAAAGATTTTAATAGATTTTGCCTTTTTTCCCCAGACTGAGAAAAAAAAGGGCCCAAAATAAATAAGATGAAATTTATGAATTTAAATAGAAACTTTTATGTTTTGATTCAAAACACAAATACACAAGGCACTTTACCTTCCGAATGACTCTATGATATGGGTACTATACTTGCCATGTTGTAGATGATAAAAATGAGGTTTGCCAAGTTAGTAACTTTACCAAGTCACTTTCCAATCTCTTGCTTCCATTGTCACATCTCTTTCTACACAATCTGATACTCCTGCATCCCTCTTATAAGGAGACTTGTGAGTACTTCAGGCCCGCTATTATAAACTGAATGTTTGGCAGGGCATGGTGGTGGCTCATGCTTATAACACCAGCACTTTGAGAGGCCGAGATGGATGGATCACAAGGTCAGGAATTCAAGTCCAGCCTGGCCAACATAGTGAAACCCTGTCTCTACTAAAAATACAACAATTACCCAGGCATGGTGGCATGCACCTGTAGTTCCAGCTACTCTGGAGGGTAAGGCAGGAAAATCGCTTGAACCTGAGAGGCAGAGGTTGTGGTAAGTCAAGATCATGCCAGTGCACTCCAGCCTGGGCAACAGAGCGAGACTCTGTCTCAACATAAATAATAAATAAATAAATAAAATAAACTGAATGCTTGTGTCTCCCCCACCCCCAGAATACATATGTTGACTCTTAAATTCCCCAATGTTACAGTAAAGGTGGAAACTTTGAGGACAACTAAGTGATGAGAGTAAAGCCCTCTTGAATGGGATTAGTGCCCTTATAAAAAGAAACAAGAGAGGTAATCTTTACTTTTCTGCCATATGAGAACAGAACAAAAAAACACAGTCATCTGCACACCAGGAGTGGTGTCTTTACCAAAGATCAAATCTGCTGGCACCTTGATCTTGGACTTCCCAGCCATCAGAACTAAAAGAAATTAATTTCTGTTGTTTAAGCCACCCTGTCTATAGGATTGGATTATAGCAGTCCAAACTTAGTAAGATGTCCACTCAAATAATTCAGAATGATCTCTCTACTCAAAATCTGTAACTTAATCCCATCTGGTATGGGTTGGATCTGTGTCCCTGCTGGAATCTCATGTCTAACTGTAATCCGCAGTGTTGGAGATGGGGCCTGATGGAAGGTGATTGGATCATGGGGACAGTTCTCATGGTTTAACACCATTCACCTTGATGTCAACATCACATAATGAGTTCTCATGAGATCTGGTTGTTTAAAAGTGTATGGCATCTCCCCCTTCTCACTCTTGCTCCTGCTCCAGCCATATAAGACATGCCTACTTCCCTTTCACCTTCTGCCATGATTGTAAGTTGCCTGAAGCCTCCCTGGATGTCAAGTAGATGCCAGCATCACGCTTTCTGTACAGCCTTCAGAACCTAGCCAATTAAACCTCTTTTCTTTATAAATTACTCAGTCTTAGTTATTGTTTTATAACAATATGAGAATGGACTAGTACATCATCTGAAAAATTCCTTTCGTTACATAAAGTCACATTCACAAGTCCCAGGGATTTGGACATGAACATCTTTGGGATACATTATTCAGCCAATCATACCAATACAGAGTGATCAGGAGGAATGTATTACAGATGAGGTCAGAGAAGTGACTAGGAACTAAACCACATGGACCCTGAAGGTCCTGTAAGAATCTTGGGTTTTATCATAAGTTAAGTGGAAAGCCATGCAGAGAAATGACACAATTGAACTTGCATCTTTAAAGGACCACTCTCGCCAATGTACTGAGAGGAATCTTCAGAGAGCCATGATATAGGTAGGAAAAACAGTAAGAAGGTACCTGCAGTGACCTAGGAGAGACACGAAGGCAACTTGGACCAGGGTGGTATCAGCAGAGGTGGTCAGAAATCATTGGGTTTGGAGACACTTTGAGGAGGAGAGTCAAAAGCATATTTTGATGGTTTCAATGTGCTCAGAGAAAGAGTGGTCAAGGATGATTTCTTTTTAGTCCGAGCAATTAGAAGTTGCCAACTCAAATGGAGACTTCTGTAGAAAGAGTAGGTTTGAAAGTAGAGGTTAGGATAGAACTGTGCATTCTGTTTGGGATACTTTAAGGTTATCATGACTATTAGACATCAAAGTAGACCTCTCAAATAGGGAGTTGGATTTAGGAATTTGATGTTTAGGAAAAAATTATGAGCTAGAATATAAATATGGGAACATGGGAATTGTCAGCATGTCAGTGGTATTTTTCAGCTATGAGACTAGATGAGATCATCAAGGGGATACATGTGAAAATAAATAAGAGATGATTAAGAACTGAGTTCTGGAGCATGTCCATGTTAAGAGGACAGGGAGAAGGAAAGGAGCTATAAATAGGGACTAAAAGAAAGTGACAGTACACGAGCAGTTTCTTGAAAGACAAATGAAAAAGGATAAAGATTCTAAGGATGATGAGTTATCCTCTGCAACATATGGGGTGAGCACTGAGAACGGGATTGACCGATCCCTATGACCTGGGATAGTCTGATAACTCTGAGTAGCAAAAGCCAAGACAGCTTTGCCACTGCTTCAGCTGGGGTCAAACCAGCTATGGGCAACAAATCTACATGCCACACAGGGCTTTCCATAATTCATGATCTGGATTCCATTTCTCTCAGTCTACTGAAACCAATGGGCTATTTTCAGAGTTTATCTTATTTGGAATCTCAGTAAGCAAAAATTTAGTTGACCACTCCCACCTTGAAATGCTCTCTCCCTTGGTGCTACCATTCTGTTTGTTAGAGAACTATGGTTTGGGCCAGGCATGGTGGCTCACGCCTGTAATCCCAGCACTTTGGGAGGCTGAGGCAGGTGAATCACAAGGTTAGAAGATCAAGACCATCCTGGCCAACATGGTGAAATGCTGTCGCGACTAAAAATACACAAATTAGCTGGGCATGGCGGTGCATGCCTGTAGTCCCAGCTACTCAGGAGGCTGAGGCAGGAGAATCATTTGAACTCCAGAGGTGAGGGTTGCAGTGAGCCAAGATCATGGCACTGCACTACAGGCTGATGACAGAGCAAGACTGTCTTAAAAAAGAGAGAGACAGAGAGAGAGAGAGAGACAGAGAGAGAGACAGAGAACCATGGTTTGTGAAAATTACTTTAGCATTTTAGGCAAAGAAATGACACGACTATATTTTACATTTGGGAAAAAAAAAATTGCTCTGAAGGTATGTTGGGCCATAAAGTAGTACAGGAGGGTTTCAGGGAAGAGACTGAAAGAAAGGAAGCTATGTGAGAGCTAGCTGCATAGCGATGGTTCAAAGATGAGAAGAAAAATAGTAAGTAAATGTATAGGAAGTAGAATTTATTAGACCAGAAAACCCAGTTTCATGTGAGGTCATTCGATGATATGGGTTCAAAGATGACTATCAAATATGGATAAATACCCGATGGTTGTGTCCATGGGAAACATTTTTAAGAAATAAGATTTCTGTGCCCCATTGTCAGAGACTCTGATTCAGTAGGTCTCACGTGGAGCCTGGGAATCTGCAGTTGTAGTGAACAACCCAAATTAACCTGGTCCAGACATCTGTACAACATACTTTGAGAAACACTAATAAAGGCAGTACTTGAATCCATGATAGAATGTACAATGCTCATTCTCTTACGACATATTTACTAGGCTGGGCATGGTGGCTAATGCCTGTAATCCCGGCATTTTGGGAGGCCGAGGCAGATGGATCACCTGAGGTCAAGAGTTCGAGACCAGCTTGGCCAACATGGTGAAACACCATCTCTACTAATAATAAAAAAAATTAGCTGGGTGTGGTGGTGTACGATTGTAATCCTAGATACTCGGGAAATTGAGGCAGGAGAATCACTTGAACCCGGGAGGCAAAGGTTGTAGTGAGCCAAGATCACATCATTGCACTCTGTCTAAAAAAAAAAAAAAAGAGAGAGAGAGAGACATATTTACTGAGCTCCTACAAGGTGGCACATATGGTGCTAATTGATGGAGATGCAAAAATAAAAACAAAAATGGACAAGGCACCAGTGCTACAGATTAGTGGAGGGGAAAGACATACAAATTTATCATTACAGACTCTGAGAAGAGCTTTAAGAAAAAGTAACAAGCCTTGCGGGGATATAGAACAGGAGAGCCAGATCTAGTTTCAGGAAATTAGGAAAAGCCTTTCAGGGGAGCAGCATTTGGGCTGAGACCAAACAAATGCGTCGGTATTAACTTGGAAGGTAACCGGGCAAAGAGATAAGATTATAAAGAATGAGAAGGAAAGAGGGTTGAGGCAGAACTTCTGGAAAGCCATTATCAGAAGCCAGGTAGCAGAGAAGGAAGAACAACCAGAGAGATAGGAGGAAAACAGGGAGACAGTGATGTCATGGGACCTGCAGCAGAAGAACATATAGAAAAAGAAAGGAGTGGCCAATAGTGTCAAGTTCCAAAGAGAGTCCAGTGAAGTCAAGACTGAAGAGTGACCTTATGCAAGGACACTGGGACAGCAGAAGAGAGGCAGGGAGGTGCAGAGGCTAGGAGGGTGGATTCTGAGGTCACCTGCCTCCAAATCCCAGCCCTACTTCTTACTATCAGTGAGATCTTTAGGAAGCCTTGTAACATTTCTAGCTTCAGTTATCCCATCTGTAAAATCTAATATGGTGGAAGGCTCATTAGAACTAGCAATTTATTTGGCTTGTTCATTGGAGTATCTGCAATACCTACCCAGCACATGCCCAAAATATTGAAGATAATAAATATTTATTGAATGAATAAGTATAGTAATAGCAATATCTCACAGTGTAGCATTCAGTGAGTTCGTATGGATAAATCACTTAGAACAATGATTTCCAAACTTTGCTATATTTGGGGATCATCTGAGAATCTTTACAACATAATGATACCTGGCTCCCTCCCTAGAAACTGATTAAGAGCTCAAAAAACTGTTCAAGTGAGTCCCATGTGCCACAAACTTCTGGATCCATTAGTTTAGAGCAATGCCCAGCATATAGAAAGCATTTTCCATACAAACTAAGTTGAGGAAACTTGCCAAAAGAGAGAGAGAATTCACAGGGAGGGTGGAAACCTGTGTGCAACTAACAAATTACATGTACAACATAATTGTGAACTGGGTGCTCATTATCCAAGGGTCAACCCGCTAGTGTAATTGCAGACTTTTACCCCACTTGGTGCATTGAATTCTTTGGTTTTTCTACCAGAATTGAATAGGTATTATTTCTGCTCAGCATCAGTTGGAAAGAAGCAAAGAAAGTGTCTCTAAGAGTGAGACTTGTATCTCCAAAAGGTGAGCAAGGCCAAAATGCACAGACTGTAAAAAAATAAATAAATAAGAAAGCCAGTGAAGTCACCCCACAGTCCCGGTGGTAATATATACTGATGCTTTCCAAGCAGTTTTGAAAACGATTCCTACAATCACTTCAGACCAGCTGAAGAATTTAGATCACAGATAGATTTTATTTCTTCTGTAGCTGATGTAACCCTGTAGAGACTATATTTTCTCCCTCCTAGAAATCTTGCAGCTGTGAGATTAATGCCAAGTTGTGTGTTTCAAATACAGTTCAATAAAGAAGGCTTCACTCAGATAACAGAGGCTCTCTGAGATTATTTATACAACAGCTGTTAACTTTTGTGTTGAATTCTGGTTGGATATTTGATGCTTTCCTTTAATTCAGAAAAGCACTTAGCGAGGCACTGGATTGATTTTCAGTTTGGGAATCCCAGGTTGGCAGAGCAACTTAGACACAGTTCAATAAAATTTTGCGAGCAAATTTTCTTCCCTAGCAAGCAGGTAAAAATGGAGTTAGAAATGCATTCTGGACAAACAAGAGTTTGCTTATGATGGAAAAAGGAGTTCATACTGAAGTAAATGTGTACACAACCAAGAGGGAAGTCATGGAAGTAGAAATAGAGGATTTCAAGGTGAGTGGAGGAGGTTAAAGATTAGGAATTAGGGTGGCATTTGCAAAGGAAAAGTCCTGGAAAAAAAGGAGAGAGGGTGAGGAAGGTCCCAGATCAGGAAGAAGGGGTAGGTAAAATACTTAAAAATTATTCATTGAGAATATGAGAGAGAAGAAATGAAAGAAATAGGCAAAGAAGAGGCTTCCCAAACAAGTGAGAACATGAATAAGTGAGCCAGTTAACACGGAAGAAGTATGGGGCAGGGGCCAGGCATGGTGCTGCTGGGATTACATGTGTGTAATCCCAACATTTTGGGAGATCAATGTGGGCAAATCACATGAGCCCAGGAGTTCAAGACCAGCCTGGGCAACATGGCAAAATCTGGTTTCTAGAAAAAAAAAAATGCAAAAATTAGCCTGGTGTAGTGGCACACACCTGTAGTCTCAGGTATTTGGGAGGCTGAGACAGGAGGATCACTTGAGCCTGGGAGGTGGAGATTGCAGTAAGCTGAGATGCCACCACTGTACCCCAGCCTGGGCAACAGAGTGAGACTGTCAGAAAAGAAAAGAAGGGAGGGAGA